GAATGCCGAGCCATGAATGGCTGTGGCAAATGACAACTGGCGATTGCAACTGAACTTACATGGAAAAGCTTCTTAGTCACGATTTGATCTATATTCTCATGTTTGTATAACGCACTACCAAAAACTTTGCCTTCAAAATAAATTGGATTCAAGTCATGAAATCTAAAGATATCCCCGTATGATAATATTATTTGCGAACAGATAAAAAGAATTTTCCGTAGGAAAGGGGCAAGCTTGCTGCAGATTGTAACTTTGATGATAATTCCTACCGTTCTAACCGAAACTGTACTTTGCAGAGAAGATTGCCACAGCAGGCGTCTCCACAGGTATCCAAAAATCTGGTAAACCGCTGAAATACCATGTTTTCCAAAAATTTGTTGAGAAAATCTTGCTCAACTATTTTCTAGCTCTCAATATACTTTTTTTGGAAACTAGCCAGTAGAAATTCATTCTTAGATTGCTGCCAACGACACTAGAGATTTAACTGAAGAAATGACCTACGAGGCACAGTCAACATCATTTCCAGTGAGCCGAATTTTAGTCCTTTAAACTGCACTTGCTCTCAATCTTATTATCATGTAGGTAACCGATCCTAGCCTAGAGGAACTGCTGTGGAACCTCGATCTAAGCGAATTCCAATCACCCGTGGATGATTCAATCCCTGCTCCAGACCATTGCGTCTTAGATGCAAAATGCAGAGCAATTATAAGCAATGTGAAATCTTTTTTTGAGGAATTGAAGAGGCGATTGGGCAAGAAATGCACGGGCACGATATTCAACGCCCCGACACAACTAACTGCTGTCGCCTGTGGTGTTTCCAAACGCCTGGCCAGCAGTATCCAAACAGGGCCTGAATACATCCGTAAGCCAATACCTTACACACACGTGCGCCCTCAGTGGGGGCGCGAACTTCGAAGGAAAGAAGCCCTAAGGAAGTACAGTGGGGAATGGGGGTCCGTCATACGCCACTTTGTACATGCAAAGTTCAGGAATGAAGTGAGTGTGACGGTGGCAGACTTATGGAATGAAATGAAGGAAACTTACCCCACATTCCCCCTGTCACAAACCACGTTCTATTACCTCCTAAGAGGTCTGGGCTTCACCTATCGAATAAATGATGGCCAAAGATACATTTTTGAAAACCCAAGCATTGTGGATAAGAGGGCTAGGTTCCTCACTAAGGTAGAGCAGGCAAGGCGAGAGAACCACCTCATCGTTTATCTTGATGAAACTTGGGTTTATGATAGTATGACGAGAAAAAGGGGGTGGAATGACGATACAATCCCCCAATTCGCCCCCGCTTCAACAATGGAGGAGTTTTCCTGTGGCAAAACGCATGCGAAAAACAAAGGAAAACGAGCCATTGTAATTGGCGCCATGAGTGAGGAAGGCATCATCGCGGGTTGTACACGAGTGATCTTCAGCGGCCAGGGATTGATCGAAGACGATCACCATGGCGATATGAACCATGCGGTATTCGAAGAATGGTTAAGGGATTCGCTCCCATACATGCTGAATGCCGCCGCGGATAGGTGCTTATCCATAGTTATGGATAATGCACCTTATCACTCACGTGCTTTAGAGAAGGTGATTGTTCGTATTTAGATTAATCGAGGGTAATGTACGAAAAG